GGGATCGCTATGAGCTTTCGCGCTCAAGCCCGCCTAGCCCACCTCCTCTCCCTTCCCTCTCTCACCTCCCCTTTGTAAAAGGAGGTTCGTAAGCGGGTCCGCCGGTCCTGGCCCCCCACCTCCTCTCCTCTCCTCTCCTCTCCTCTCCTCTTCTCTCCTCTCCTCTCACCTTCCTCACTTCTCTGCCTTCTTCCACAGCGCTTGGTTTGCTCGTTCAGGGGGTGCTGGCTGCACCAGTTTCTACCGCACGCAGGCTAAGGGGGTGTGTCAAACAATATGTTTAATATATACCCTGCGTGCTGTAGGTACTGTAGTTATTATTATTAAGAGTTGGTGGTGCACCTTCTTTGTTGCTTTGCTATATGTACCTTGTGTGCTATAGTGAAACACCTCTTTCCTTGCCTAAACTCTCTCGACACTTTCTCCTCTTCACCCTAGCATGGCTCCTCACCTCTAGCTACTATCTTAACAATTTCTTCCAAAATTATAAGAGAAATTCACTGTTCACATCAGCCAACCGAAAAGTGAAAACGAATGTATAAGGTTGCTACGCAACCCAAAAACGGAGCGAGTTCAACGGTTTGAACTCTCGAAGTTGCCAAATTCCCACATCAGGCACACGTTCCTACGGATGTGGCACGATCCCTTTCGATTTAGCAAAGCCGCGAAGCGCACTAGCAGGACTTCGCCCGCCAAGACGCCAAGGGTCGTGCAATCGGAAGAACGATCGCCAGAACTATGACCCTCTGTCGTAACGATTTGCTTCTGCTTCACAGCATGTCGATCGATCCACATAAGAGCCGCGTGGGCTTAGAAAGCCTGCATTTCCGCAGTTCCTATCTCAGAATCTGCGGGATAGGAAGCCAGGGACGGCTTCAGATTTACCGCTGTTATGGCAGCTACTCCGAGAGCACGTTACCTAGTAATGTTATCACTTATACTGTGTGCATGGTGCGCAGCAATCTTCAAGACGCACCGTGCTCTGAAGTCTCATCAGACCAACAGCGTAGAGTGTAGGCTGCATCAAGCTCGCCTTCGTGACGAGGGCTACGAGAACGGCCCGTTTAAGGCAACCGAAGATGGACAGATCCACAAGGATCCGCCACCCGCATGCCATCATCACAAGCGTAGGCGCGTTGACGATCCGGCAGATCCTACAATCCCCGCACAAGAGGCTCACACTACCGCGCCACACTTCGATGCGCCAACGAACGAACAAGAGCAGATCGCCTTTCAGCCAGAGGCCTCTCCGGAGCCGATTGACTTCGATTTCGGTCCAGGAATCTTCGACACGCGTAAAGAGCTGATGCTACTGATGCAAAGCTTCCGTGAAGGGCAGGGCATGACCGTTGAAGAGAGCAAGCGGTTTTTGCGCGTCGTATGCCACCCCGATTTCAACTCTGAAGATCTCCTAGGCTGGCGCAGCATCAAGGATGCGCAAAAGTGGGCTGCGGACAAGTGGGGCGCGAAAGCACCTGAGTGGAAGACGACAATGGTTGAGGTCCCAGGGGTGTTGGAGAATGGACGTCCCGTCTATGTGCCCTTGAAATACACGGACACTCTCAAGGTAGGCCACGGGGAGTGAAGCTCTCTAACTACAGAGAATCTTCTATTTAGTGGTGACTTAATGATCATTGATCGTATTTCGTGTTCCCAGGTGGTGCAGGCGATTTTCGAGGACCGATGCAACCAGAAAGGATTCGCACTGTACCCGAGCAAGAAGTTTCGCAATGGGAAGAGGATTTATACACGCCCTCAACATTGCAACTGGTGGCTCGAATCCCAGGTGAGTGGATGGCGATCGTGAGGGTTGCATTCAGGGCTCAGATGTGTGGGTGTGGTGCTCTGGAACCTTGGATGTGAGGTGAGAGAGTGATGAGCTCGGATGTGGGTGTGTAGGGAGGGTGGGAGTGAGTGAGGAGCTCACATTTCAGCAACAACAGGGATGGTGGGAGTGAGTGATGAGCTCGGATGTGGGTGAGTGAGTGATGAGCTCGGATGTGGGTGTGTAGGGAGGGTGAGAGTGAGTGAGGAGCTCGGATTTCAGCAACAACAGGGATGGTGGGAGTGAGTGATGAGCTCGGACGTGGGTGAGTGAGTGATGAGCTCGGATGTGGGTGTGTAGGGAGGATGGGAGTGAGTGAGGAGCTCGGATTTCAGCAGCAACAGGGATGGTGGGAGTGAGTGATGAGCTCGGACGTGGGTGAGTGAGTGATGAGCTCGGATGTGGGTGTGTAGGGATGGTGGGAGTGAGTGAGGAGCTCGGATTTCAGCAACAACAGGGATGGTGGGAGTGAGTGTGTAGGGAGGGTCAGCTAGAGTTGCAAGCTTTGCGTCTCTGATGCCTTCCCTTAAACTCTACCCATCCCATCGTTCCTTTCCGCAATGTAACATTGCAGAAGGCACAACGCATCAAAGAAGAAGTGATCGCTGCACTCATTGTGTACTCGGATGTCACACAATTAAGCAAAAACGACACGCAAAAGGTCTGGCCTGTCGTTTTGTCACTCGGGAATATCGCAGTTGAACACCGTTGGAAGACGAGTGCAAAGCAGATGGTGGCAATGCTGCCATTGCCTCATTCGAAGTGGAAAAGCAATGTTAAGACGGAGCTCTTCCTGAAGTGTATGCAAATTGTGCTTCAGCCATTGATTGATGCCAGCAACAGGTAAGTTTTTTTTATCAACGCTCTCTGGATTATCATAATTCTCAAAGTAGCAACAATCTGACAACATATTTGCCCCCATGCAGCGATATAAGTTGTGTGTGGTCTGACCCATCAGGGGTCAAACGCCTTGTGAGGCCGTTGTTCTATAGCTATCCTTGCGACTACCCGGAAAGCTGCAAGGTGACAAGCACATTCCAGCACGGTAGCAACCGGCCGTGCTCTATGTGTTATGCGTTGGGTGCCGAGTGCGACAACTTGACCAAAAAATTCAAGTCGAGGAACCCAAAGGAGCAACGATTTCTGATGGGTAAATACAAGATGTTATACCAAGCAGGGAAGACTTTGGCTAAGGATTATGCTGCGCTTTGGGCTTCATTCCCTTTTCACGTACGTCCACTGCCTTCCCTAATCTCTTTTTTAGTGGTGTCCTGTGACTATGTTTGTCAAGTTTCTACCTGACCAAGAAACCCAAACCCCACTGCAGACATTCATTTGGGACTTCAAATACGCCGACACACCATGGGGTAACCCATACCTGGCGCTCATGCCTGATGTCCTTCACCAGGCGGATGTTGGGGTGTGGACGCACATCCGTGACGCCATAGCAACACTCCCCAACGCAAAAAACGGCATGCTTGATGAGTGAGTGTTGTAAGGAATTTGATTTTCCTTATGTTCTTCATATGCATGTTCGGGTTTCTACCCTGGTTGCCACTCTTCATGTGATATTTTGATTCATAGCATTCCGTCCCTTCTGTCGCTTGGGTTCACAAATGTTTAGTTTCTTCATTCCAGGGTAGGATTGCCATGATCCGACCCTGCCTTGATATCAAGCAGTGCCTCTTGTGTTTTGCAAATGCATGGCCGGCTTGCAACGGATGCTTATTTGATTTGCTCTGTTTTGCTGCAGTGTTAGCCTTGCTCATTCATTCTTTGTCCTATTTCCCCCCATTCTCCCCCTCCCCCCTTACCCCCAAGGCGCATGAAATGGCTTTGGAAGAATGGCCGCATTGCTGGTCTAAATCTTCCCATTCCAGGAACGTACTTTCAGTCGGGTGCCCGTGTCTCTGCGGCTGAGCACCGAGCCGTGATGCAAGTTTCCATTTTCATACTTGAAGGCCTTGTTGATGATATACACTTGAAAGCAGTGCAAGCGTTCCTCCGTTGGTACAAGGCAACCTTTCGTCCTCGTTACCACACGGATGAAAGCCTCGCCAATGTGGAGCGCCTCTCCCACATGTAAGTGGCCCCAATCCTCTCATGTTTTGTTACCGTGTTATGTTTTTTGGTCAATCCTGGATCCTCCTGTCAGTCTATATCCTTATCCCCCCTTCATGCACCTCTATATCCTATGCGTGTGTGTCTTTGTTTTGATTCAAAAGATCCATACTTATCTGTAGAGCTCGGATTGGAGTGTGGAGGTAAGTCCAGAGGGGTATGTGAGCTCGGATTGAGTGTGGAGGTAAGTCCAGAGGGGTATGTGAGCTCGGATTGGAGTGTGGAGGTAAGTCCAGAGGGGTATGTGATCTCGGATTAAAGTGTGGAGGTAAGTCCAGAGTGGTATGTGAGCTCGGATCTGAGTGTGTAGGTAAGTCCAGAGGGGTATGTGAGCTTGGATTGGAGTGTGGAGGTAAGTCCAGAGGGGTATGTGATCTCAGATTGGAGTGTGGAGGTAAGTCCAGAGGGATATGTGATCTCGGATTGGAGTGTGGAGGTAAGTCCAGAGGGGTATGTGATCTCCGATTGGAGTGTGGAGGTAAGTCCAGAGTGGTATGTGAGCTCGGATCTGAGTGTGTAGGTAAGTCCAGAGTGGATTGAGTGTGTAGGGCAGATATTGTTTCTCTCAACGGCCATCATCATCCCTTCTCTCCCCCCAGGATGATCGACAAACTTAAGGGTGCATTCCCAACACAGGCATCTCTCTGGAAGGTTGTGAAAGTGCACATGGTAGTGCACTATGCCGATGCCATTCGAAGGGGTGGCTTGCCGGAGGAGTATTCCACTAACATGTACGAACACTTCCACAAAATCACCGTGAAACGGCCATACCGGGCATCAAATCGAAGGCAATGGACAGAGTCCATCATCAAGAGCAACCAATTCCTCCACATGCTAGCTCAGGTCGAAAGTGACATAAAGGAGGAGAGAGACTACAACTGCGCGTTCTACGAGGTATGTGTGTTGTGGCGGTTTTTGGAGGGAGCGGTGCTACGATATAGATTGATGTTTGTGTCTCGCCACCACCAGGCACATACTCATTTCCTACCCCACCATGCCACAGGCTGAAACCACTTCAAAACGTGTTTTTCTGAGGACACATGTGGTCATGCACATGGCTGCAAGCAAGCATCGCCGAGGCAACACTGACCAATTCGCATTGTACAATGCTGCTGTTGGTGGCCGCCTCGACACGTTGGAGACGGACCTTGGTACAGCAGGAATCTCAGCCGCCACAATCCATGTGAGTAATCCTGGATACTCATCCGTACACTCCCTCCCATCCCCCCTTCCCTCCTCGCACATTCCCCTCTCCTCTCTGGCCCGCCACACTCCCTCCCATCCCCCCTTCCCTCCTCGCACATTCCCCTCTCCTCTCTGGCCCGCCACACTCCCTCCCATCCCCCCTTCCCTCCTCGCACATTCCCCTCTCCTCTCTGGCCCGCCACACTCCCTCCCATCCCCCCTTCCCTCCTCGCCCATTCCCCTCTCCTCTCTGGCCCGCCACACTCCCTCCCATCCCCCCTTCCCTCCTCGCCCATTCCCCTCTCCTCTCTGGCCCGCCACACTCCCTCCCATCCCCCCTTCCCTCCTCGCCCATTCCCCTCTCCTCTCTGGCCCGCCACACTCCCTCCCATCCCCCCTTCCCTCCTCGCCCATTCCCCTCTCCTCTCTGGCCCGCCACACTCCCTCCCATCCCCCCTTCCCTCCTCGCCCATTCCCCTCTCCTCTCTGGCCCGCCACACTCCCTCCCATCCCCCCTTCCCTCCTCGCCCATTCCCCTCTCCTCTCTGGCCCGCCACACTCCCTCCCATCCCCCCTTCCCTCCTCGCCCATTCCCCTCTCCTCTCTGGCCCACCATACTCCCTCCCATCCCCCCTTCCCTCCTCGCACATTCCCCTCTCCTCTCTGGCCCGCCACACTCCCTCCCATCCCCCCTTCCCTTCTCGCACATTCCCCTCTCCTCTCTGGCCCGCCACACTCCCTCCCATCCCCCCTTCCCTCCTCTAACACTTCTGTCTCCTCTCTGGCTGCACCACCCCCACCTGCAGGTCTACACCGGCGTGGCGATTCCAGGCGGCCCTCAAGAGTACCACTCCAGGGTCACTCACTTCATTCGTGCAAACCCGTCACACCACGGCAACCCGTGGTTCTCCCATGTGGCCATTAGTGGAGGGGAGGAGGTGTGGTACGCTGAGGTACTTCTCCTCTTTAAGCACGCTCAGAGCGACAAGGGTTTTGCCTATGTTCAGTTCTATCAGGTGGTTGGTAATGATGATGCTACTGGTTGCAAGCGCCTGGAGTGGGCTAAGTACCCAGGTAAGCAGAGCTTGTACCGTGATGTCGTGGAGGTGGACTCGGTGTTCGGTGCCGTCCACATTGTCGAGTCGTTTGAGCGTAGAGGCTGTTTTTTTCTCAACGATTATTTGTTTGACTAGATGCGACTTTACTATGACATATTAATGACATCTATCGCCAAGTAATATTGGTTTGCTTCCAAAGATACAAAATTGTTTGAACAAAGTCATGCAGGTCAGAAAATTAACACTTATTGAAGAATTATATGAAAAAAAAATATATCACATGTTTCTGAAATTCGAAAACATATCGAAAATGTATTGTATGCAGTCTGGTAGCTTTTTACCAACCAAACGAGTCAGCGATTTCGACCACTGTTCGACGAACGGAAAAAACCCTACTGAAACCGGGTCCCCAATTTTTGCGATGTGCTCTAAGAGCGGGATGTGGCGGACTTGGGAGAGGGTCTCATGCGACCAGAGGTCCGGCGCCGTCACAGGCCTCGACTTGACCGACGTGCGGATCAAAGGCACAATCCCACCCGCGATCGGAAACCTAACGTCCCTCACGAGGCTAATAATACGGTTCAATACGCTTCTTAAGGGACGACTACCATGGTCCATCGGCTTGCTAAGCCGTCTGCAGGAGCTGCGAATTACCGACAACGGACCCGGCATGCGCGGAAACATCCCGACCACGCTATCGCGTTTGACGAACCTCGTTTATCTGGACCTTTCGGTGAACCGGTTCTCCGGTCCCATTCCCCGGTTTATCCTCGGCGGGACGATGAAGAAACTGGAGGAGTTGGACCTCTCGAGGAATCGCCTCACGGGAAGCATTCCGGGACAAACGCTTAGCGGACTTTCCGCTCTGAACGCAATCAATCTTGGCGACAACGGCCTGACCGGGAGCATTCCGACAGAGATTGGCAAGTTGAGGGCGCTACGGTACCTGTTCATTGACAATAACCGGCTCGAAGGGGCGATGCCGTCAAGTCTGGCCGGGTGTACCGGTCTAGAGATGCTGGCGGCTGGGACTAACCGTTTGGGAGGTCCGCTTCCCCTAAGCACACTTCTGCGACTCCCGAAGCTGAACGGCCTTTCGCTCAAGCGTAACGCGTTCATCGTTACTTCGCTAGCACCTCTCGCGAACCACCCTAGGCTGAGAGACATCGACCTGAGTAATAACAAAGTTGCTCGGCGAATCCTGGCAACCCTCGGGCGTATGGAAAACATAGAATACCTGAATCTGGCGGGAAACGCAGCTGCAAGAACTAGATTTGTCTTTCAACAGGCTTTCAGGGAGCTTCCCGTGGACTGCGGTGAGAGGCGCGCCGAGTTTACTGGGGTCAAACATTCGGAACAACATGCTTTCGGGCAGAATCCCCGATAAATCGTTCACGGGGCTCCTCTTGTTCTCTCTGAACATCTCGAATAACTTCTTTGCGGGCAGTTTCCCCAATTTCAACTCGCCTATATGGGAATTCCAACTCGACGCTCGTGAGAATTTCTTTTCGGGCAGTCCCGAGATACGAGTGTGGGGCAAACAAGTCTGCCCGGTCGAGGGGCAGACGGGTCCTGACGGCGAACTGAGCTACTTCACCGTAGCTCGTAACTGCCTTTCGCCGGTGCCTTATTGCAACGTTACATCATCGCAACGCAGGTATGCTTCGTGCGCGGCTTTCTGTGGCGCGAATGGCAAACTCGGAGCGTGTGGAGGGCATGGCACGTGTCGGCCTACGCCAGTGGGTGGGAAGGTTAGGTGGCGGTTTTCGTGCGCGTGCGACAAGGGTTACGCTTTGAAGCCGGGAAATAGGTTCTCGTGTGTGCCAACAGCAGCAGCCGGCGCGGCCAAAGTACTGAAACCCTAGCGGTCCCGAGTGCAGGCGTAGTGTGGGGTGGCGCAGAGATTTTCAAAACCTGTTCTGCTATGTTGCGGGAGTGGCATGGCTTATTAGCCAGCTGAGAGTTCAGGTGGAGCAGCTAAGGGCGCGTAAGTCTGGGTGGAAAGATGTGAAGCAGTGTTTCGGGGGCAGAAGTTTCGCCCACAGCGTGTTCTTTGGAGGGCGGAGTCAGCTTTTAGGCTACATGCAAGAATCTACATGCGCAAAATGGGGGCAGCTCGGAAGAAACGATTGCAGGAAAATTTCGCAGAGGAAAAGAGGATGCTGAGCAGGATCATGATGGATGGCAAGGGCTGGACTGTCAAATGTTGTAGCCTATAGTGAGGTTTGTCTTAGGGGGTACAAAACTTAGGGTTAGCTATATGTACCCCAACCAACATCAATGCATCATCCATTCTTCATTTTGACATGGTATCAGTTAGGTTAGGATCCTGTGGGATCCCGTTCCTCCGTTCTCCGTTCGAGCCTCCCGAGCCTGATCCTAGCTCTCATTCGTCCCGGTTCCGTTGTTACCGCGCGTAGTGCCGCGCCTAGCGCCACTCCTAGCGTCGCGTCCTGCCCGCCCTTTCCCCCCTCGTCGCGTCCCTTTCCCCCCGTCGCGTCGCGCCCTTTTCCCCCCGTCGCGTCGCGCTCTTTCCCCCCGTCGCGTCGCGCCCTTTCCCCCCGTCGCGTCGCGCCCTTTCCCCCCGTCACGTCGCCCTGCCCCGTCCCGTCGCCCTGCCCCGTCGCGTCGCCCTGCCCCGTCGCGTCGCCCTGCCCCGTCGCGTCGCCCTGCCCCGTCGCCCCGCCGTTCCCCGTCCCGTCGCCCTACTCCGTCCCGTCGCCCTGCCCTGTCGCGTCGCCCTGCCCCGTCGCGTCGCCCTTTCTCGTCCCGTCGCCCTGCCCCGTTCCGTCGCCCTGCCCCGTCGCGTCGCCCTTCCCCGTCCCGTCGCCCTGCCCCGTCGCGTCGCCCTGCCCCGTCGCGTCGCCCTGCCCCGTCGCATCGCGCCCGCCCTTTCCCCCGTCCCGTCGACCCTACGCCCTGGCCCGTCGCCCTAGCCCGTTCTTCCGCTGCGACTAAGTCCCCCCCCCCCCCCCACCTGAACCCTAATTTGCCTCTTACCTCCTGCTGTTACTCGCCTGCTCGTTCGCGTTAGTTCTCGCTATGGCGACTCCGCGAGTTCTTCGTTTCGACGCTGACGGTAGACCTCTTGACTTTTCCGTCTGGCTTCTTCGCGCTCGCCGTCTGTTAGAGAGTCAAGTCCAGGGGGGCGAGACCCTCTGGTCGCACGCTACTGGTGACCTCCCCGAGCCCCCCGAGCCTGCCGCTTTAGGTCCTGCCCCTGACGATGCTGCTACGGCTCGCTTTGCCCGTCAGCGCGCTGACAGGACGGCTTGGACGTCGCGTGACGCTGCGGCCTGCATCGCACTCAGCAGCCTCCTCCCTGAGTCAGAGGAGGTCCACTTCACTCAGGTTCGCACCGCTGCTGCGTACCTCACTGCGATTAAGGCCCGCTACTCTACTCCCGCTACTGTCTCTCTTGGCCGTCTTTTCCTCCCGTTCCTGTTTCCTGATCTCGCCTCGTTTGAGCGCTCTGCTGACTTGATCGCTCACCTCCGCTCGCTCGACGCTAGTTACCGCGCTGCTTGCACTGAGGCCCAGCTCGCACTGCTTCCTCCCCCTATGGCGATTACTATCTATTTCATCGCCACTAGCCTCCCTGACCGCCTTGCCTCCGTTCGCGACGCGCTTCTGCTGAAGCACCCTAGTGAGCTCACCGTCGATGTCCTTGAGTCTACACTCAAGGACGTCGAGAGCAACCTTCGCTCGGTAGCCGCTGCCTCTGGTGCTGTGCCCCCCCCACTCTTCCACGGGTGCACAGTCCCGCAGTTACCCACCTTTACTGCCTCACTTGCCACTGCCGCTACTGACGCGACTGCAGCTGCTGTTACGACTGCGTCGCGGTCCCGCGGTAGGAGTGGCAAGAAAGGCGGTTCTGGTGGTGGTAGTGGAGGTGGAGGCGGAGGTAGTGGAGGTGGCGTTGCGCCTGGCGGCGGTGGAGGTTCAGGGCCTGGAGAGGCGCCTCGTGCAGTGACTGGTGACTCCACTGCGCCTGCTGGTGGTGGCGACGCCCGAGTTCGTCAGTCGCCTCCTGTACTTCCTGCCCCGGTTGGTGGAGCAGCGGCGTGGTACCAGGCTCAGCGTCAGCAGCAGCTTCTGCAGCACCAGCAGCCCCTCTCCTCCCAGCAGCCTCAGCAGCAGCAGCGGCAGCAGCTGGCTCCAGGGTCGGGGCTGCGTCAGACCCAGCGTGGTGCTGCTTACACTCCCTGCACCTACCAGGTTCTGACAGGCACTCGTCGTGGCCACCCTTGTGGCCGGTTTCACCCCCCTGGTCAGTGCTTTGCTCAGCTCACTGACACGGTTCGTTTGGTCTACGGGGTTGGTGCTCCTGCCCCTGACTGGCTGCCTCTTGTTCAGCGCTACGGCTCCGCTCTGTGGGGCATGTCTGCTGAGCAGTTAGTTGATCTGATTGGTACTCCCCATGCTATGTATGCTGTTGTTGACTCTAGTGTTTCTGACTCTGCTTACTCTGGTGTTGTTAGCTTAGGTGCTAGCCTTGCTCAGTTGCCTGTTGCTAGTGTAGGTTCTTGTGTAGACTCTAGTCCAGCGGCTACCTCAGAGGACGGTTCGCTGTCGTTCACGCTGGACTCTGGAGCCTCTCACTGCTTCTTTCGTGACAGCACGACACTTACGCCTCTTCCTGCGCCTGTTTCTGTGGCGCTGGCTGATCCCACTTCGGGACCAGTCACCGCGCGTCACACTACCACCTTGCCGTGTCCGGCTGCTCCTTCTGGGTCTCTCACTGGGTTTCACGTCCCCTCGTTCTCCCGGAACTTGGTGGGCGTGCGACCCCTCGTGAGTCAGCACGTGGGTGTGTGGTTTGAGCCTTCTGGAGAGACTGCGGTGTGTGTTGACGGGGACTCTTACC